GAGACATAGGCAGATGGAGAAGCAGACTCCCTGCAGGGATCCTGATGAGGGAACTATCTCTGGACCCAAGGATCACACCCTGAGCCAAAGACAGATACTCAATAGCTTAGCCAGCCAGGTGTCTCTAGAACTTCAAATCTTAAAGTTGATTTCTATTTTATCAAACTGACAAAGTCTGTGTGGTGGATAAGGACCTTGCTGCTTACTAGCTTCAATCAAGCTACTTAATTTTTCTCTATCTCAGATCCCCTCTCTGTAAAATGGGCATCATAATACCTATTACATGGACTTGTACAGAGGATTGAAATGGATGAATATGTATAAAATGCTTAGAACACTTTCTGGCATATAGTAGATCTAAATAAGTGTTTGCTGCTTGTATAATAGTAGTTGTGGTAATAATAATTATTGTCATACAAAAATACTGAATGTTGCCAAGGAAGAGACAAGAGCATAAATTTTAAAATGTACCTACCCTGAAATCCCACTTTTAGATAATTTTCTTAAATAAATAATTACATGTTCAATTACAAGTATGTTCATTGCAACTATGTTTATGTAACAAAAAAATGGAGGTCCTAAATAATGTAGACCTGCATGTCTTGACAAGGAATAATCTTTACAATGTATGGCTCAGGGAAAAAATTCAGGCCATAAAATAGTACATTATGATCTCTTGTTTTGAAAAATATGTGTATTTTCATGCTTGAAGAAAGGTCTGGAATATCAATATATGAACATTAGCTTTCCCTGGGCTGTTGATCATTTTGATGCCCTCCCAGTTATTTATATTCTACCCATTTTGTTCTCAATGAGCAGGTATTATTTGTGTAATTTTAAACAGTCATTTCAAAACGTTGAAGCCTGCCAGTGTCTGATTGGCTCACCTGGCAGCGAGTTTGGGCACTAATGGATGTAGCCCAGATTGTATATGAGGCACTTTACATTCTCCACAGCCATCCAGGGACAGAATCTCAATTAGAGCATCAAGGTCTGCCTTCTGTGGCCCCTTGAGGTGTCGAGTCCACCTATGATCTGCTGTGGATTTGCATAAATTAAATGTCCACTGGATAGCTGCCATTGTCTTGAAAAATAGAATGTGATCAGCATGGGGGAGGAAAGGAAAGGGAAAATTTGCTTTTGTTTCATGGCACCCTCTTCCTGTTAATGCTGATTCAAGACTGCTTTGACCACAGCTCAGTTGCGGTTTGGTAATTTCCATGGCTGCTGCTTCTTCTTTTTTATGATGGGGAAAACAATTTGAGCAGCAGTTTCTTCCATGAGTGGCACTCCTTAGTAAAAGAGATGTCCTACAGCTGGATCATGTGCTATGGGAGGTGCACAGGCTCAGAATCACAGAATTTTCAAGAGAGAGGGGCTTTAGGGACTCAGCCCCATGCTGCGACTATTATAAATCCATGTCGACCTTTCCAGTGACAGGGAGACCTTCCTTTGCCCTTCCAGGTCCTTATAGATGGACTAAGAATCAAATTGATAGGAGACAGATTAACAGGAGGAAATCCGATTTAATGGCGTACTTACAGGGAATCCAGACAGACAAGGAAAGTCTGAAGGCAATGAGGCAAGGAAGCTTTATATGAGCTAAGGGGAGGGGTAAGGCAAAAGGTGATATTTTGAAAAACAAAGGTTGCCCTATTATGCAGATAATTTTCTTAGGTCAAAGGGAGAGCATAAGGCTTTCCTTTCTGAGGTGAATTTGGGCTGTTGAGGACCTGGAAGAGAGCTTTTCTAGCATATGCTGGGTTTTGATTACTTTTAACTCAAAATAGTGTTCCTGCCAAAGTGGCCCATCCTGGGGCAACCTGCCTTCAGCTCCTCCTACATAAGAAACAAAAAGTTTGGGGCACTTGGGTGGCTCAGTGGTTGAGTGTCTGCTTTTGGATCAGGTCCTGATGCTGGGGGTGGGGGAGGGGGTTGTTCCTGGGATCAAGCCTCTCTCATTGGGCTCCCTGCAGGGAGCCTGCTTGTACCTCTGCCTATGTCTATGCCTCTCTTTCTGTGTCTCCCATGAGTAAATAAATGAAAATCTTTTTTAAAAAATAGTGAGCTGGAGCTTACATTCTAGCGGAGAGAAAGGCAATATATAAGTAATATAAAGCCAGGCACTAGTAAGTGCTATGAAGAAAACAGAGCAGGGTATGGGATGCTTCTTTAGATGGGATAGTCATGGAAGGCTTCTCTCCTTGTTGCTGGGTGCACTGGGGAGACCCCAGGCCCTGGAGCCTGTCCTAAAGATGTTACTGAAGGTTTTTGTTCTCCTCAGGAGAAAGAATTCAAGGACATATGCAACACAGTGAATGAGCAACAAGTGGGGAAATTTATTAAAATGAAAGTATACTCTAGAGATAGAGAGAGAACGAGAGCTGCATGCCCTGAGGTTGGGTTTCTTCCTTTTCCATCATGGCACCTGCCATCTTGATTTGCTCTGGGTTCTTGTGAAGTGTGCCCAAAAGAGGCCTCTGACTTCTGATACCTGGCCATGACTTCCTCTTTGCTGACCTCCAGGTATTCTGTTAGAACCTAACTAACTATCTAACATCAGTTGACACTTGAGCAGGTAGCTGAATGGAAAAGACTAGAGCATGATCAGAGGCAATCCTGGGGCTGAAATGTATTTTAAATAGTTACCTCATATCAATTTCCAGAATTTGTTGCCACTCACGCAGAAAGGTTCCCCTGATTCCAGAAAGAGAGATGACCAGGTTCAGGCAAGTAGCAGGAAGCATTTCACAGTCCATATCAGAAACTAAGAGTCAGAGCATCACTCAGGCCACAGCAGACAAAGACTTAGAATGCCCATACCAGGATGGCCTGGGTCAGGAACAAAACTCAGCATTGAGACTCAATTCCTCAGGCTCTCAGGCTTTCTGCTGGAGAAGTTATTTGCCCCTGCTAATCTCCTCTACTCTTCCTTTGTACCCTTACCCCACCCACCCAATTCAGTGACAGAAAGATCTGGATGAGCTCCACATTACACAGAGCAACATTTTAAAACCATGGAACTAGATACTTTAAAGCCTGCCCCAGGAAGGCACAAGCCCTGGTTGTCAGGGAATTGAGGGAGCATCTAACTGAAAGGATGAGAGGAGCAAACCAGAAGGCCACTTCTACTCATTAGAGCCAGAGCACAAGCCAGTGGTGGGGAGATAGGGAGAGAAACCAGGTAAACCCAAAGAGGCCTCAGGGAAGATAGTACCTAAATAGAACTAACTCTGAGCAAACATGGATGTCAACAGTGGCTGTGTTTCAGGGCCCCTTTTAGGACCCCTAAATGAGAGGTGTTCTAGCACCCCTAATTTAGCTTCCATCCAGATGCTGAGTTTGTTCTCATTCAGTGGTCTCCTAATATCACCAAAAAGAGTAACTCATAACATCCCTAAGCACTGGGTTGTCAACTGAGTTCCCCAGGGTCCCAGGGTTCTGAGATGATGCTTTAGGAGCTGCTGTGGCAGACAAGTAGGGAAGGCTGAGCAGGTGGGCTCTGGGATCCCAAGTTTTGCTAAACAGATAAATTATATTTGTGTCTGTTATACATACAGGTTGCTAGGAAAAGGTCCAGCTTCTTTATTATTTTTTTTAAAGATTTACTTATTTATTTTAGAGAGGGACAGAGAGAGAGCACGAGAGTGAGGGCGGGAAGGGGCAGAGGGAGATGGAGAGAGAAACTTTAGCAGACTCCTGGCTGAGCTCCCAGCACCACATGGGGCTCTATCTCAAGACCCTGATATCAAGATCTGAGCTGAAACTGAGTCAGATGCTTCACCACCTGAACCATCCAGGGCCCCCCGTCCAGCTTCTTTACACACACACACACACACACACACACACACACACGCACACAAACAAAACTAAAATTGTTACCTTAAGGTGTTACTCCTTCTGGGGGGGAATGGAGTCTGGGAGCTATAAGTTAGGGTCCAGGGTGAGGCAGCCTGCATATGATTCCGGTTTCATCATGGCGGTGGCCTTGGGAAAATGACTGAGAATTCTTTGAAATTGAGATTTTGGTCATTTTCAAATTACAAAAAATTCTTGGTTCCCTTATATGGTTGCCATGAGTATCAGATGCACTGATAGTATATGAAGGGCTTTGTATAATGCCTGCCATATCAAAAGGACAAAGTAAATGTTAGCTATTATTAGCTACATTTCTCTTTTTTTAATAGAGATGTAGTGAAATGATGGGACACCTGCACCCCAACGTTCATAGCAGCAATGTCCACAATAGCCAAACCATGGAAGGAACCACGGTTCATCCATTCATCCTTTAACAGATGAATGAATAAAGAAGATGTGGTATATGTATACAATGGAATATTCCTGAGCCATCAGAAAGGATGAATACCTACCATTTGCTTCAACATGGATGGAACTAGAGGGCACTATGCTGAGTGAAGTAAGTCAATGGAGAAAGACAATTATTATATTGTTTCAGTCATATGTGGAATATAATAAATAGTGAAAGGGACTATAACAGAAAGGAAGGAAACCGAGTGGGGAAAAATTAGAGAGGAAGACAAACCATGAGAGACTCCTAACTCTGGGAAACAAACAAAGGGTGGCAGAAGGGGAGGTGGGTGGGGAGATGGGGTAACTGTGTGATGGGTACTGAGGAGGGCACTGGATGGAATGAGCACTGGGTGTTATACTATATGTGGCAAATTAAATTTAAATAAAATATTAAAAAATAAAAAATAAAAATAAATTGAATTTAAATTTTAAAAATTAGCTACATTTCTTTTTTTAAAAAATTTTTTTTAAAATTTATTTTATGATAGTCACACACACAGAGAGAGAGAGGCAGAGACACAGGCAGAGGGAGAAGCAGGCTCCATGCACCGAGAGCCCGACATGGGATTCGATCCCGGGTCTCCAGAATCGCGCCCTGGGCCAAAGGCAGGCGCCAAACCGCTGCGCCACCCAGGGATCCCAACATTTCTTAAAGTATTCTAGAACCTTACTATTCAAAGCATGGTCCAGTGCTCACCTTGGCAGCACATATACTAAAATTGGAACAAGACAGGATTAGCATGGCCCCTGCTTAAGGATGATATGCAAACTTGTGAAGCATTCCATATTTAAAAACAAAACAAAACACAAAGTGTGGTCCATAGACCAACATCACCAGCATCCCCAGGAGCATGTTAGAAATGCAGAGTCTCAGGCTGAAATACAGACCTACAGCATCAGACTCTGTACCTTAACCATATCCACAGGTGATTCATATGCACATGACAGTTCGAGAAACACTAGTTTAGAAGACATTCAAGACCAAAAGAATAGATATTTAATAGTGCTATTCTAGAGGCTATTTGTGGGGCATTACATGTGTTTCCTGGTACCCCTGGTATGGAAAATTCGCTCATCTTTCAAGGCACAGTTCAAGCATTTCTTCCTCAGTGCAACCTTTCCTGACCCACCTATCCCACCACCCCACCCTCCTGGAACTGAACACTTCTCCCTTTGTCCTCTTCTTGACTTTGAACTGACTTCTATATCATAGTGCCAAAACACATACAGCAGAGTTGGAATGTATACCCAGCAACTCAGATGTGCAAAAATGTTCTCTAGAGCTGAGCTAAACTACCCCCAGGAGCTTCCCATCCTGCTGGGCAGAGAGGGGAGGAAATGCAGACACACAATTCATTGTGTCAGTTGAAAGAATCTGCTAGAAAGAATCTGGATAAATGCTGAGTCTTGCATATTTTAACTTCATTTTTCCTCCCTTACAAAACACTGGGTGTGGAAGCAGTGGGTTGAAGACAAGAGGGCCTTGGATCCACGCTCCTTCTTCTGGGTACTCACTATTTTCGGCTATGGAATGTCTGGTCTGGAACAGTCACTACACCTCTGTGCTAATATGTCTACTGAAGTGCAGTGGATCCCTTCTGGCCTTTTAGGGACTTCATTGGTTGTACCTGTTGTTAAATCCATAGCCCTAGCTATTTGTTTCTGTTTGCAAAGCCCCCTAATTTTGTAACCTCTTCATCCCAAACATAGGCCTCTGGTGGCCCACTAGGGGCTCCCTACTCCTTCGAACCTTGGATGTTCTACATGCCACATGGCCAGCTATGAAGAAACAAGTGTTACATCAGGCCCATGAACTTAGAGACTTGCCACACCTGTTGCTGTCCTACCATCTGGATGCCAGATTGCTCCAGCACCAAGGTAAATGCAGGTTGTCTCCAAGGGGGATTCACATCTTCCCAGTTTGTTCTGGCTGAGGAACTCCCCTCACTGCTTTGGGGGTTTCTACCCGGTCCCTCTGGCATCTGTCCACTTGCTACTCTCCTTCTCTACTGTCTTTTACAGTTCCACATCTCTTCACTTCCTAAGCAGGTGGAACCTTCCTTTGCATCCCAGACTGAGTTAATCACATCTTACATAATCACATCTTATATATAGTAAAACCCCATGCTTTGCTTTGTTTTTATTTTTTAAATTTATTTATGATAGTCACACACAGAGAGAGAGAGAGGCAGAGACACAGGCAGAGGGAGAAGCAGGCTCCATGCACCGGGGACCCGACGTGGGGTTCGATCCCGGGTCTCCAGGATCGCGCCCTGGGCCAAAGGCAGGCGCCAAACCGCTGCGCCACCCAGGGATCCCTTTGCTTTGAATATGTAAAGGGAGCTGTTGGTGTTTGCAAATTCTTTTTTTCCCTGATGAAACCTCACTCCTAAAATTATTATCTAACTGAGGTTCTTCGCCAGAACACAGTGACCTCCTTCATCACTCTGATGGCCCCTTATGGGTCCCTTCTCTCAATAATATGCTTAAATAGGTAAAATAAAGTGCATAGGATTACAAAGAAAGCCAATGATACTAAAACACAATTATCAAAATATATTTTTAAAAATCGTGATAGAATAGCACCTGTGCCTCTTTGTGAATGGCTTAAATGATAAGATCTAGTGTCAGATCGAGTAACCACCACAATTTCAAATAATGAGGGTCATTAATATTTTGAAAGAACTATTACATTATTAATATGACAGGAAAGTGTCTGTGATAGCTACTGATGGCCAAGTCACAGGTATGGCTAATATAACTGGTCTGTTGCCTACATCTATAATGAAAGTCAAAGCTAATTTTTGGCAAGAGATTAATAAACATTAAGATGAACTTTGTCCTTTGTCTACTTTATTTAGCTGGGGATCTCATGTTTAAAAACAATGTGGTTCTCTTCCTCGGCGCTGCCTGCGGAGGTGGCAGCCATCGATTGCTGGGCATCATGGCTGCCCTCAGACCTCTGGTGAAGCCCAAGATCGTTAAAAACAGGACCAAGAAGTTCATCCGGCATCAGTCAGACCGATATGTCGAAATTAAGCGCAACTGGCGGAAACCCAGAGGCACTGACAATAGTATACGCAGAAGATTCAAGGGCCAGATCTTGATGCCCAACATTGGTTACGGGAGCAACAAGAAAACAAAGCACATGCTGCCCAGTGGCTTCTGGAAGTTCCTAGTCCACAAAGTCAAGGAGCTTGAAGTGCTGCTGATGTGCAACAAATCTTATTGTGCAGAGATTGCTCACAATGTATCCTCCAAGAACCGCTGTGGAAAGAGCAGCCCAGCTGGCCATCAGAGTCACCAATCCCAATGCCAGGCTGCGTAGCGAAGAAAATGAATAGACAGCTTATGTGCATGTCATATTTGCATTAATAAAACCATAAAAGTACAAAAAATAATAATAATAAAAATAAAAACAATGTGGCTATAGGCTAAAAACCCAAAGCCTAAGTCAGAGCTAAGTAATGACTTCTTGTTCTAGCTGATATCACTCTCACTCACAGATTTGGTGACTCTTGGGGCATCAAGATTTGCAGAGAATGAAAGATATGTCAGTGTAACACTTTTCAAATGGCTATAGTCATTACACTATTTTGTCAGCACTGATTTGTTCCCATATATCCTTCACCAGGACTGTAAGCCCTGGGAGGGCAGGGACTGTGTTTTAGTCAATGTTGTCTCTGAGGAACTAACCCAACACATGGCAGGAGATCACTAACACATGAAGGAGCAAACCGACAAGCATTGCTGGCAAATATGCAGGACACAGTAGCCTGCTTAGCCATTCATCACTCACTATGCAGCTCCTCTTCACACTGCAACTGTTGCAAGCTCTTCATCAAAGACTTGGTCATTCATTTCAATTCCAGTGCACTCCAACACTCAGCTCTTCTGTCTTCCCTTCACTGTACAGGCACAGGCACACACACACATCATAGGAGGCGGAGTCACTCGCTAACTGACAACGATCCCCACAAGACACAAGTACCTCCTGTTCATATTCCATATCTGATTATGATGCTATTACTATGCTCCAGGTATGGATTACATAGCTGGGGATAGAGAGGCTAGTAAGCCAGATGCAGTCCACACTCCTCTGCCATGGAGCTTGCAGTTAAGGGCAGTAACCTTTGAATTGTGTTCTACACCCTCTTGGTTTCATGGGTAGTCCTCAGAGCCTGATGCAGGGGGAGACAAAGCTGTCAGAGGTCTAGGGCCCCTTCCCTATGTTGTCCAGAGTAACTACACTTTGGGTCTATTTCATACATTGAGGTTCACTTTTAGAAGCCATTTCATAGCCAAGAAATATTTGAAAACCACTGCCCCAGTCAATCGAAATGCCTCTCACCCTTAAAGTCTTCAGGAAAGGAGATTCTAGATCTCTGTCCCCTTGACTATCTGGGCCTCGGCACCTTTCTGTCTTTGATAAGGGTAGGGAAAGGGGATAAAAGTAGAGTAGCTATGTGGCCTCTGTCCCAAGTTGTGGGCCCCAGCCACAAGATGAACAGGAAGGAGATGTGGATTTTGCAGAGAATGGAATTTCTGGAGTGTTCATGCCACAGACACCAGGCTGATGCCTTCTGCCTGGCACCCCACTTCCCTTCTCTGCCTTTATAAGTGAGGTGGCAGAGAGTATCAGAAATGAAACTTTTTCAAGTTCAAAATGTGGTTCATTCCATTGATGGCCGAAAATCAAGACCAAAAATTTTAATACTGTTGGGGCCAGGCGGGAAGAGAAACTCCTCAAGATGGCGGATACCCCAAATGGCTGAGGTTCCTGTCACCACCTCCACCTGGGACGCCAATGGACCAATGACCTGCTGACAGCTTGACGCAGACCCTTAGACCTCTCCTTTGGACTTACCCAACCGGACCCAATGCCCTTCAAACCCCAGAGGAGGAAGTCACCTTTGACTGACCGAATTGCAATCCTTCCTTTGCATAGTGAGGGTCACTCTGACTGGTTGGATTGCAATCCTTCCTTTGCATATGAGCCAACCAATAGGAAACCGTTCTGCCTTACAACGTTACGTAAACCCCCTGCCACCTTGTCTTGGCGCGACTTCCCCGACTCACTCTTCCCCTCCGTGAGTCGTGGAACCTCGCCCGAGGGTGCCTGCAATAAAATCTGTTCTTGGACCCTCGCTTGCCTTGGCGGTCTCATTTCCATTTAGTTACCAAAAAACCTAACAAATACATAATGATGTAGACTTTTAGACTGCCTTGTTTGGATGGGGAGTGCAAATTGCATTAGAAAAAATGTATGGGGCCTGTGGAGACTGTTTGGAAATATTTGAGGCAAAACACTTTCCCAAGAGCTACCTCCTTCAGGATTGCATTAGCTTGTTTGCTCTTCGAGGCAAATGTGGGAACAAAGAATTTGAATGTGATTGGCTAAGCAACCTCTTTCTTCCACTGCCATCCCACCTCAAGCCTTGGAAAAGATCAGACAGTGATGGTGGCCCCATCTAAGTGGTGAAGGATGAGAAAGTTGACTATGTGACCGGGGTGAATGACAATGGCTTACATGTCTTGTGCAAAGAGGCTATTGCTCGCTCCGTTTTTCATTCATTCAACTACTTCCTCAGCACCCACTGCACATCAGGTACTGTGTAAGGTGCTGGAAATGCAGAGACACAAACAAATTCTGCCTTATTGGAGCACGGACAAGTTACCATAGCTTAGCAAGTATTGGTTCACTCATTTATAAAGTCCAGTTCATTGGAGTAGCTGCCTCATGGGGATGTTACAAGGACAAAATGAATTAAAGCTCAGACATGCTCCACTGA